TTCTTCACATCAAGTTGACGCACTCACCATCTAAAGTTAGTTGCTAAAGCTAGAACCAACCTCACAGTTGTAGGTTTAACAACTGGCTAAAGGTTTCTCCATAGTCAATACCCTCTTCTTGATTGAAACCTTTGGCAACAAAGCATGCTTTATACCTGGAAATAGATCCATTAGCATGGTTCTTAATCTTAAACTCCCACTTATAGCCTACCAAGTTCTTGTTTCTAGGCAATGGAACCATAGACCAAGTGTTTTGAGTTTTAAGAGCATTCAATTCTTTTTCCATAACAGAGAACCGTAAAGAAGACTTGAGAGCAAACTTGTAAGTAGCAGGTTTAACTTGTGAAAGATCCAATGGTTCACCTTCTTGAACCACTGAAGAAAAAAAAATTTCTTCTTCGAAATACCATTCTTAGCTCTTGTTTGCATAGAGTGAGTGTTCATAGGAGGAATATGGAGAATAACCTGCAAGCTATCAGGTTGAAACTCATGCTGCAATTCAAATAAGTGACACTAAGGATCTTAGAAGTAGACTCACTAAAGGTCTCAAAAGATGACCCACTTGGAATCTCATAAGCCATAAGGATTGTAGAAGAGGATTGTTGATCTGTTGATGCAGTAATGGATTGTAATGAGCTGGGATTATCACATTGTTGATAAGAATTTTGTGACATAGTATTAAGGTTGTAGCTGGCACAGAGGATGGAAATGACCATTAACTAATATGGATGAAGATGATGGAAGGACAATAGATGCAGGAGTGGAATGCATGGTGACACGCTCCAATCCCGATATTCCACAAATACCAGAATAGGCACGTGCTGGCTGACACCCAAGGGTGATGAAAGCCATTTATTAAATGCAAATGCTAAGAAGAATGAATAAATAAGACTTATAAATTTAAATATAATGAAGAGGACCACTCACAGATACTTCACCGCCGAAGAGCCACGCAAACTAGCGAAGACGAAATCGCCACAATATATGCACCTAAGCACATAAATGGTCTAATTAATATAATTATATTATAACAATTGAATTTGCGAAAACGAACGTCGACATTAGCCTAGGAAGGGTTCCAGACGAAACCCGAAAAAGTCAATCTGAAAAGTCAACGTTGACCGGTCAAAGTTAAGGTCAATGCTGACCGTGACGGAGTCAACGGTCAGACCGAGTCAGGTCAAAGGGTCAATTCGAGTCAAGGGTATTGGGTCAACCGGGTTGGGCCTAAATGGTTTAGGTCCAAGGGTTTAAAGGGTTTAGGCTTGAAAGCTCGGCCTAATGCCTTTAGATTAAAAAAAAAAAACAAATAAATAAATAAAAATAATTGGGTTGGGCTTGGATAATCCGGCCTAAAGCCTAAACTTAAAAGGATTTAGGTTTGGGGTAATTAGGTTGGGTCTCAGCCCAAATGGGTTTGGGTTTCAAGGCAAACGAGTTGGGTTGACCCGTTTTCAGGCCAAGTTTTTGGCCCGTTTCTGGGTTGATTTTCCAAGGCTCATAACTTTTTTGTTACTCAACCAAATCAAGTGATTCAAAAAATGAAAGTTGTATTACTCGACGAGAGGAAGAGAATGGTACCTTGCATGATGGCTAACTTATTGTGGTTTGGCCGAAAAATGCCTTGAAAGGGACGGTGCTTGGGTGAAAAATTTGGAAAAGCTACGCCGAGCTATTTTCTGTGATTCACGCACATACACAACTTAAAACAAGCTTTGATCTACTCCTAAAACACAACCAAAGAGTTTCTAGAAGCTTACCAAAGTCAAAAAATTACGAAAACGTCGGGGAAGACGATGAATAATGAAAATGTTGCTAGAGAGTTTCTCGGCTTGTCACGGGATTTCCAAAGGTCCTTTGTCCACCTGGTGATGGTTTGTGGCTTATGTGTGTATGTGTGTTTCAGAGACGAGGGTTGTAGAGAGAGAGAGAGGGCACGACATGAGGGGGGAGAGGTAGAGAAAATGAGAGAAAGTGAGGGGGAGAGAGAGAGTTTGATAATTTTAGAAGAAGAAAAAGGGATAACTCGCGGGTCCAACAAGGGAAAAGGGAAAATGGGGCCTGGTATGGGAGACCAAAAAGGAATAAGGGCCCCACGGGCACACACATTAAGACCCAAAAACAATTTTAAAAGAAAAATATCCCAAACTTAGTGAATTTACAAATTAATTTGGGGGTGGGGTTTCACACATGGAGACATGATATTTAACAGATAGGGTGGGATATGGAAATTCAGACTCATCAAACACTAGATGTCTGGAAATGTAGAACTTTGTATGAATTATGTCGTAACAAATGAAACCCTTGTATTTGAAAGCATACCCTAGGAAAATACAGTTGGTTGTCTTGGGTTGTAATTTGGTACTAATATAGGGTTTTAATAGTGGAAATAATGAGCAACCAAAGATTATGAGATGTTGGATATCTGGAACAACATCAAATAGTAGTTTAAAAGGAGATTTGTTATGAAGTGTAGATGAAAGCATTCTATTTATAAGGTACACAACAGTTTGGCATGCAAAAGACCAGAAAGTTTGTGGTAAACATGTTGTTTGCAATAGGGTTATAATTTTTTCAATGATATGACTGTGCTTTCTTTCGGCTAAACCATTTTGCTCAAATGTGTAAAGGTAGGGCAGTTGATGTTTAATCCATTTTTCCAACATAAACTTTTGAAATAGTTTACTAAGGTATTTACCTCCACCATCACTTTGTAATGTTTTGATGGAAGCAGCAAAATGATTGGAAACATAATTATAGAAGCCAACAAAAGTAGAGAAAACATCACTTTTATTGATAATGGGAAACAACCAACAATGTCTTGTGCATTCATCAATGAATGTCACATAGTACCTAAAACCATCTATGGAAATACAAGGAGATGGACCCCATACATCACTGTGAATGACTTGAAAGGGATGTATTGACTTAGACATAGAATTGACAAATGGCAATTTACAAAATTTACCTTCAAGACATGTATGACACATCATAGACAATGAATCAGGTAACACAGACACATTACATTTCTTTAACATGATAGACACCACAAAATTGGAGGGGTGACCTAACCTATTATGCCAGAGACTAGAAGAACTTGATGTCCAAGATATGCAATTTGAGCCTTGGAAGTGACAACATTACTCTTAGCTGCAAATGGTATTGGGTACAATCCATTACTGCATTGGCCTTGAAAAAGAATCCTCCATGTGGCTTTGTCCTGGATCCAGAAACAGAAAGCATCATATATTAGCCAACAATTATTGTCCAAACATAGTCTATGCACAGACAAAAGATTATGAGATAATTGAGGAACATAAAGGACTGAATTAAGTTGCATGAGATAATTGAGGAATAAAAGACAGAATTAAGTTGCAAAGGTTTGGATGGAGTATGAAGAGTGGAGGAACTAATATGGAATATTGATAAACCTACACCACTCGCAGTCTGAATTGTTTCATTAGTAGGATATGGGGAAGCCAATGTAAAATTAGTCAGATCAACAGTCATATGTGAAGATGCTCTGGAATCAGTAAGCCACAGTTGTTGAGGAGGAGCAGTTGGTTTATGAGGTTATGATGTTGAAACATGCATGGTTGTCGGAGCTTGAGGTGAAATGTTTGAGTTCCTGAAATTATTGTATTTGGCACTATGATTCTTCCTCCCACAAATTTGACAACCCTCATAAACTGCACTATCAGAATTCCTCAATCTGCAGGTAGGAGCCAAATGTCCAAAATTTCCACAAATCTGACATGATGAACTAGAAAATCCATGTTGCCTTGGTGGAGAAGTACCAAGAATACCAGGAGCTTGATTCACAGTATAATTTCCATAGTTGGACTTGGAACTCCTAAAACGAGAGTGAGAATCATATTGAAATTTGCCCTTGTTTTTGTTCTTACTGTAGTTAGGCTTGAACCCAGAAGAGTAGAAATAGGATTGAGAAGAACCCCCATAGGAATACCAAATGAAGAATCCTCAGCTTTGGAGAATCACCATAAGATTTTGAGTGACTGCCATTATTTCGAGCAACCATTGCAGATAAGAAGGGGTAATGAGAACATTTTCATTCATTGCTTCCTCAGCAAGTAACTAAGATTTGAGATCTTTCATGGAGATAACATTCTCACGGCCTCGAATAATGGATCGCAGAGTATTGTACTCATATGGGAAACCATTCAAGGTTAATATGACAATATCATCATCATCGAATTGAACTCCAGCAGTAAACAGATAATCACGAGCTTCTTTAATTCGTTGCAAATACAACGAAATCGAATCAATACCTTTCTTGATATTTTGTAACTTAGATTTCATCTGAAAGATCGTAGCTCGAGTAACAATAAAAATTGTTCTTTGAGACGCACCCACAGATCATGAGAACTAGTACTACCAATTACACAAGAAACAGCAGAAGGGGATAAGATGGCTGTGATCAATTGCATCAATGCCCGATCGTGCATTTTCCAGATCTTGAACTCATCACTTTCAATTGTAGATAGTCCATCACTTGAAGAAATAGCGAAATCCCCAAAAGTAGGCACAATAAATCGGTGAGGATAGAGATGAGACCAATCCACAAAACCCATAAGGCCATGACCTTTAATAAGCAATTCGATCTGAAAATTCCAAGTCAAATAGTTGGAATCATCAAGTTTGACAGTCACAGAAGATGAGACTATTGATATGAGAGACATTATAGAAGAGTGAAGAATCTGCAATTGAGCAGAAGTCACCATTGTAGAAGATCGAGAGAAGAAACCCAGATGACAATTTTCTCTGAGAAATTAGAACAAACACTTGGTGTCCAAAGAAGAAGATGCACCCAGTTTAGAGAAGCAAAGAGCAATCATGATCCCAAGAAAAGAAGATCGATTGTGAAGCGCAGTAGGAAGCAAAAGCAAAAGAACCAAGATCAAGAAACCTTCAAGCCGAAACTTTTTAGGTGAAAGATACCATGTAAACAGAAGGAGAAATAACTATCTTACAGAGGAAGAAAGTATGTTTGTATATTGTATTGAGAATAATACCAGATTACACTTATACAATGTGTATATATCTCGTTACATTGCTTAACTACTAAGCTAATACAAAGCTCACAAGATGTTGACACTTGTCACAATCTCAGCTCATAGAATCCTAACCAACTTAACTATTTTACACACGTTATATTTAACAAACAAGAGGGGGGACCAAATGTAAATTTACATCTCTAGTTAGAGCAAAGATATGTTTAAATGAGATGTAAATATGATTTTTATATCTCTCTTTTGAAGATGCTCCAAGAGAAAGTTAGAAGTGAAATTTCATTATTTTTTGCTTTGAAAAAGTCAATGGGAGGAGAGACTTCCCCATTGCAGGCCAAGGCATACCATAAGCTGCTTTAAGGGTTTAAAGAGGGAGTCTTAGTCCATTTTTTGGTTTTTCAGTACACACGAAATGATTGTTCATGTATTATATGTCTGGTCAAGTTACAATATTGTTCCATTGATTGAACAAGGTGTAGCTGAAGGCTAAATAACTGGATGATGGATGGATGGATGGATGGATGGGTGGATGGATCAAAAAGCTAACATCATTCTCACAAATTCTTCGTAATTCACTAAGCCATCACCATCCAAATCTGCTTCTCTGATCATCTGCTCTACCTCTTCATCTGTCAGTCTTTCTCCCAGATTTACCATCACATGCCTCAACTGCAGGAAAGACATTATGTTAACAATCATCACAGTAAACTAAAACAAAAATATATATTAGTTACTACAGGAGAGGGATCTCCATTTTTCTTGCAAGACATGGCAACCTTTTGTGGGTATAGTTCAAAGATTCGAACCGTCTGTTTAAAACTTTGCTCAAATATCCTTCAAATTGAAAATGTTTGATATTCTGCTCGTTGAGCTCATGCAATAAGTCCAAGTTGGTGAGCTGGGGTATAGATTTTCTGCTCTTAATTCACATTTTGTTGGATGCTTTGCTTGATTAAGATATCTTTGAATTCACACGGGAATCAGAATCAAAGTCAAGATTGAATTTAGGATATCTTATATTGCTAGAACTTTTATCTTCATTTATATAATCGCAAAGCCTCTCATTAGCAACGTGCTTTCAAATAAATTCTTATTTTCTCAATAATAATATGTCAATGGGATAGAGAATATAGTTATTCAACCTCATTAGGTGAAATGTAGCCATCCTGATCCTTGTCAAAAACTTTGAAAGCTTCTTTCAATTCTTCATCCGCGTCGTTTTCCTATATATAAACACATTATTTAACATGCTAACTAGTTAAACTTGTCTATGTCAGAAGATTAGTTATTGGTTGGGAAAACAATCAAGTACGTTCACTAAAATATGCAAACTAATTAATTTACCTTCATTTTTCTTGCCATGAGATTCAAGAACTCCCCGAACTCTATGGTTCCGTTCCCATCAACGTCAACTTCGCTTATCATGTTCTGCAATTCTTCTTCCGTAGGGTTTGGATCCAACAATTTGACCGCAGTGGCAAGTTCTTCAATAGTAATGCAGCCTAACAAATTTTAAATAAACACATATATACATATGAACATGAATAATTTAAAGCAATTACTTATTATGTTTGTCTGAAAATTAATAAATCTACGTGAATGTGTGATACTACTGAATTACTATTAATCAAGCTTAACTGCAGTAGCTGCCATAACATCAAAGCATTCAAGCATATCGAAGATCGCGCATGGTGGAGCTGCAGGGGGTCCAGAAACTGATGGAAATAATTTGTAATCAAGGGCTGCTAAAAGTACAGCCTGCCTTAATTTTGTTTCAATTGCAAAAACTAAGTCTAAGAGCTAGCTTAGGGGCATAACTAAGTATGTGTATAAGTAGATTTTCTGGTTTAAAGTTTCAATGTATATTCATGTATTTGTACAAGAGTGAGTCTAGGTATATATGAGAAGAGAGAGGGGAAAGAAAAGAGATGGGAAGGATGGCTGCAGCAAGCAGCCGACAAGAAAGAAGAAATCTAAACCTTACACAAAGACATTACCCCAATCAGTCTCCTCCCTTAAATCAAGGGAAATGTGATTTACATACCCTTACCATAAAGATTACAATGAGCATTGCCCTAGAGATTTACCCTAGGGGTCACCTTGGTAGTAGATTCCATATGCAACATCAGTCATATGCAGCATCAGACATATGCAACATCAGACATATGCAGCATCAGCAGGGCCGGCCCAGGTCCAGTGCAGGCAGGGCGACCGTCCAGGGCCCAAAAAAATTAGGGGCACCAAAATTATTAGGATGGTATATTTATATATGTTTTTATAAGAGTATAAATTTATAAAATTTGGTTCAAAGACATAAAAATTTAACTAGAAGTGATGGTTTGTCATTTGAAAATAATGAGGAGGTCTTGGGTTCAAAACACCATGTGTGCTTATTTATTTTTCAGTTTTTTACAAATTTCTTTTTATAAGAGTATAAATTTATAAAATTTGGTTAAAGGATCAAGAAGTTTAATTAGAAACAATGATTTTTGTTGTTTAAAATTAACAAGAGATCCAAAGTTCGAAATGCTATGTGCATGTTTATTTTTTTCAATTTTTACAAATTTTTGTTTGGTTGTTAATTTATTTTTATTTACTATCTAGTAGCTATGTGGGTTGTTATTTTTATATATTTGTTTTAATTCAAGTCTAATCTTCAACAAAGAATAATACGTAGACCAAATTTGCAAATTATATGACGTGTCATCAAAATGTTTGATTTAGTGCCAATTCATTAATAATACATATCAATTAAAGACTCGAAAACATCATTATTTTTTAGTCCCATATTGACAAGGTTAGTCAATAAGAAAAAAAACATCTCACGATTTATTCAAAAACACATTCAAAGTTCAGATGGAAAACAAAACTTATCATCTATCTACTTGTAAGCCCGAAGTTTTTTTGTTTCCCTCTCTCAATACAAAATAAATTAGTTTTTCTGTGTTTCTAAATTATTGAGCTTGAAGTGTTTTTCTAAGTATAATTTTTTCGATGTCTTATGTGTGAATAAATAATTTTCTTACATGAAGTTAGGGCATTTTTTTTACGTTGCCCCGGGCCTCAAAAATCTCTGGACCGGCCCTGAGCATCAGTAGATGCAGCATCACAACAGTATATCATGTATTAAAACTTAAGCATGAAACGGATAATACAGAATAACCTCTCTGAGTTTCTTTAATCATTTGCTACGTGAAAACATAGAATAATTAGGAAGATCAAACTTACCATCTCCATCCTTGTCAAAAAGACAGAAAGCTTCCTGAAACTCAACAATCTGTTCTTCAGTTAGGACCTCTCCCATTCTGTGCTTGACCATAATCTTCAAATTTTGGGATTAACCACTGTTTATGTACCTGGGAAACAATGAGATGGAGCTGGTGTAAATGGACTATATTTATATATGTTTTTGTGTGTGTTTGTGTTTTCATTTGATATGCATCTACTTATTAAGGGGGAAAGCATGAATTCTTAATAAGATGGTAAGCGTTGTCCGTTCTTCAAGTTAGAAAACATAACGTTGGAAAGTGACTTACAGTCAACCATGTTATAATAGAAAGTTACACTATCAAAGACTTTATAGACATTTATATTTGTTGTTTGATATATATTTCGTAATTAGTCAAACATTATTGATTAAGATGTCTCTGGATTTTTGTTTCAAAGTCGTACGCTTACTAGGAAAATTTGAAAATGTACTGCAGAGTTGCCATGCAGTTCCACTTTGGCGACCACGACTCTTGAAACCTCATTTTCATTGCTATTGTTTTCTTTAAAATCGGTGTTTTTTGTCCTACAGTGTATATAAAACTGTTTTTCGAGTAAAGGGTTTGTAACTTAAGTGGTTAAGATAGTTTACATTGCACCATAAGTACTTGTATTCGACATGATAAAAGAAAACCATGTTCTCCGAAAAGAGTCTGGCTAATTCATTCATATAAATTAGAAAATGTCGCCTTGAAAACTTTTGTCTGGTTTTCGTTACCAAACTTTGTTACATGTTAATGTTGCAGCAGAGGTGCTACTAGACTTTCCGTACATACATATTTGATCAAAATTTGACTAAATTAATCTAAAGCCCGCTACAAGTAAATAAACATCAAGAACTTGTTTCCTAAGCACCAGAGCTCCATGAAAAGGGAGAGGAGTCAGAGAACAAGGGATGTGATTGAAACCCCTGGACTAGAGAATAGCAATTCAATTGACTGACTTGAGTGTCAGAATATCTTTTGCAGGTACCCCAACTCCAAACGAAGCTTTGGAGAGAGGACGTTCGAGGACACTTCTAACAAGGAATTCGACTTACATGCAGGTTACAATCAACGAATCTGTGGAGGAATTTCTTCATGTAAGAAGTCTCGCTCCAACAGTTCAGCAAATACAGCAGTTGGCCATAGTCATTTTAGAGAACCTCATGAGCGTCGAGGCGGTAGAAGCTGATGTAGGGATACCTTTGGACAGTGAGAGGAGGAAAATGCGGTGTTTGCAGGGTGTATAAATTGTAAATCTTTTTGTCCCTAGCAATTCTCTGTCGATTCTTCGCCTCCCTCGCTTCCAATAACTGCTCCCTCACATAACTTATCAAGTATTCCTTTTTCTCCGGAGCTAAAAATTCATCCTCTTGTATCAACTATTCAAGTGAGAACTCCTTAAACCAATTCAACTTCGTTTCGTCACCACGACAATTTTAGTTAGATGTCTCATTGAGTCCATATGAGAGAATATTGAACGAAATCGTGATTCATTAGAGCCTTGTGGTTTGAAGTGCTATTATTACAAGGGCTCGGTCGTTATGTCCTAGAAAGATAAGCGCCGATCAACCATGAGTCAAGATTCTAAAAGTCGTTAGGCACTAGTCGGGTATAAACGTGTTATTCACATACTAAACTAGTACGAATTGTACGACAAATAATCAACTCTTCACCAAAAGAGCTAAATTTGATCTACTATGATATAATGAGAGAGGTATAGAAAATGTGTGACTAACAGATAATACGTACACATTACCAACCTATAAAATCTAATTAACCATCAGGGGTAACTTAATAGTTGGGGACGAATTTCAAACCTGTATTATACATGGTAGGTCCTGTGTTCGATTGCTGGCGCTAGTGCACCACACAATGATGGTGGGGAAGGTAAAATACTTCTATAAATCTTCTTGGCCCCGCAAAGGACGTGGACTGTCCTGGCAAGGCCATCAACTAAAGAATGTTTTTGAATTTTGCTGCAAGATCACATGATTATACTGTCATTTTAACTCATTCTTTCTCGATTAATTTGGCGACACTCCTTCCTATCCTATAATACTTCGCAATTATTAGAATCGTCTACTTTTTAGTTCACCTTTTAAACATCAAATTTGAAAGAGAGAAAAACAATAAAATCAAAAATAATTTTACGTTTAATTAACGTTGTCAAAATTTTAATGAGACATTTCTCGTTGTAATTACTCGGAAATTGAGGTGCCATCTAAAAGTTTGAATCTTCGGACAAAAACGGACACAAAACCAATAAGCTTCTTGTCCTAGACCAGTTCAATTCCTAGTCCAAATACACAAAGTCAGCTCTTCTCTCTCTCTCTCTCTCTCTCTCTCTCTCTAAAATGTCGGACGGAGGCTTAACGGTCCTCGACGGCAGCCACCTGAGAGGCGTCGACCTCATCCTGCCGGATGCTGACGCCAGCCTAACGGGAGCTCAGGTCCTCGACCTTGCCGTCTCCAAAGTCTCTTCCTCCCTCTTCGGCCTCTCGCTGCCTCAGAGCCTCAAGTCCTCTGCTTTGAGACGCAACAGCCTCCAAGACGACGACGCTTTCCGAAGCACGGAGCTCGATCGCGCGCAGGCTCTGAAGGTGATCGGCGAGTACATCACGGCGATCGCCGATGAATTGAAAGGTGCTAAATTTAACTTCCATAAGTACAATTGTTAATGTCAATTATATATACATTGTGTGATGAATTGTGGTATAATCCGAAAACGAGGTTCCGATGAAGTTTTAAGGATGTCTTGTGTGATTCAGGATCTAAGAAAGTGAGGATCGGTAATTGATGTAGTACTTAAACGAGTTTGAAGAAATTAAGGTGTAATTTTAGTATGAATAATTGTTGTTTGACTTTGAAACTGTTTGGTGGCTAGAAATGTCGGAAATGTCGACATGAAAAACACACAAAAATACATTTTTTCTGTTGTAAAATTGATGATGTGTGCAGTGGAATAAATGAAACAAGACACAAAATTTATGAGGTTCATCTACAGTCAGTGTGACTGAACGTCCTCTGGACAGCAGTAGTGCTTTCATTATAATGTGAAATAATAGGAGTATAAAGATAACTATTTCTATTCTCTATCTCTCATCTCTCCTCTCTTTTCTTCCTTCCTCTTCCGACCTCTCTCTCTCCCGTGAGCCTTGTGGCTGCTATATATTTGCTCTCATCCTCAACATTCCTTTTTATAGGCACAGATGATAATGCTTGCTGCCTTACTGCCAGCTAAGCTACAATGCTCTAAAGTGGTTGATCTAGTCATCCATTACATCATTTAGTGGTCAGCCACCAATGTTTACAACATTTTCTTGTTTGTTTTGTCCATTGTTCTAAAAATCTTCGTCTAGCGCCGTCTAGGCCCCACTTAGGCGCTAAGCGGCTGGTCATCGTCCCGATTAATGTCTAGGCGTTTAAAAATTAAGAAAGGACGCCTAGACCTGCTGAGGCAGCTGCCTATACCGCCTAGCCACCCGCCTAACCACCCTCTTGCGACTCACTTAAAAGAAAATAGATAACTTTCATATGCATTTTACTTTTTAATAAATTGTAAGAGACTTGTTGAATACTTAAATAAATACACATTATATGCTTGTTCCCCATGTTATCATTATGTTATAATACTTCATAATATATATGTCATTCTATTTTGTAGTTTTTTATGAAATTACATATATTTTAAGTATAAACAAACACTTATTTACATGAAATATAATAGATTTATTTAAAGCCACCTAGTCCGCCTAGGCGCTAGGCCCCAGCCCGCCGCCCAACTAGCGCCTAGCATCTTTTAGAACCTTGGTCTTCGGTCTCTCCAATACATATGACTTGTTCTATCTTGCTGATGAGAATTAGTTGTTTTGAATCTTTGATATGTGGAACTTTTTCGGGCCCGAAATGGAATAAGGGGTTTGAACTTTCAAGTACTTAAATGACGGATTGAAAGGTCGAACTTGGTTGTTTAATTTAACGTATTGTTTAATCGCGTCATTTGGCGGGTGCGAAAATGCTTGGCAAGAACAGAAGTTGGTTTCGGAGAATTTTGATTGTATGATGTAGGACGTCGGAGAGTTTTATGATTTAATGATTAGTTGATGCTTATTGCGTATGCTGAAATTTTGTCTTCGCTCTTCAGATGATCCGCTTGTCATATCTGTCTTGGACGGATGCAATCTTCGACTGTTTTTAGAGGACGAGGATGATTTTGCAATGTTAGCGGAGAATCTGTTCACTGATCTGGATGTAGAAGATAAAGGAAAGATCAACAAGAAGGAGATCCGGAATGCGCTTGCTCACATGGGAGTTGAGATGGGCGTTCCTCCCGTTTCAGGTTTATCTTGAATTCATTGCTTTGGTTGTTGATTCTATGATATACATATCGCTGATTTATCTGCAACTGAATTATAAATTCTGCACAGAAATTAAATTAGAGTTGTCTTGAATGGTTCTCTAAAATGTTCTCGTATGATTCAAGCACTTCTTTTGCTAAAAAGAAGAATAAGACTGCACTACGTTCGGTCCATGAGTAGCTTGTTTGTTAGGAGATATTACCGGGACTGCATTCGTAATTTCCGTTTGCAAATCAAGAATTACTACAAGTTGTTGTCACATTTATTCGTTAGTGTAAATTTTGAGCGATTCTAACAACTAACGTCCATTCGTGTGAACTTAGGTTTGTGGCATATTATATCTACATGCATATGCATGATCTTTTGCTCACATGCTTTGTTCTATGCATATGGGACAAATCACATGGATTCTCATCACCCGTTCCTTCCTAAATTGCATCGCTTATCCAATCGAGTGTCTTAGTTTTTATAGAGTTGATAATTCACAAGGTGCAATTCAACAGAATTTCCTCCTCTAAGTGATATCTTGACAAAACACGAAGCTGATGGGGATGAAGAATTGGGCCAAGCACAATTTGCTCAGCTACTCCAGCCTGTCCTGCAGGAACTAGCCGAGGCCCTGGCCAAAAAGCATGTTGTTATCATCCAGAGTGTCAAGATTGTAAATGGTTCCAAGCTAAGAAAGGTAGTTCTTTTTCCCCGTTGTTTTATACGGTACCCCCTTGTTATCTAGAGAACTAAAAGAAATTTGCTTAACATTGGTAACCAGGTTGACCTAAAATTTCAAACAGTTCGGATAACTCTGATCCACCTCGAGTCAATGGGGTTCTATAATTTTCCTTGATGGAAACAATTAAGTCTTGTCTCGGATCTTTTTTGGATTCGAAAGCTCTAAGGACTTTAGTCTTTGTTGGCACTAGCCTAAATATATGTTTGTCAATTATGTCAATGAGCCTCTAATAGACTGCCGAAAACTATGCAGTTTTTGGCTGATGAGAAGCAATTGAAAAATGTGGTTGAGAAGATATTGCAAGAAGAGCACCATGGAAAGGACGGATTGGGGAATGCAGATAAAATTAGGAGTTTTCTTGAGAAAAATGGGCAAGAGTTGGGTCTGCCACCATACGAACCCGAGGCAGTTACTCTTTTGTACGATGCAGTGTTTGCTGATCTAAGCGCAGATAAGAGTGCTCCGGAAGCAGGTCAAGATGAATGTGGAAATCTTGTGAAGGAGATACTCGAGGAATTCGCAGATCAGCTAGAAGCGAGTCCTGTTTTTTGTGATGCTTGATCATCCAGTCTCAACCGGCAGAGCTTCTTGTTTGTGTAGATAACTCGTTTATTCACGTGTTTTTGAATCCATACAGCCAAAATACGAACGATATTACGGATTGTGAATCATAGCATGGTTTGTTTAAGGTGAATTTCACTACTTTAAGCCTTTTTTGAGTGACTGAATAACTACATTACAGAGTTTACTAAACATAAAACAAGGATCTGATGCAGATTGCTTTCGAGTTTCACCGCATTGTGTTCTTATTGTTTGGCATCGGATTATCGACATGGAAACGATTCTCGTGCTAGCAATTCACGGACGTTGTTCGGTTCGATTTGGTTTAAGGTTCAAACTATCTTACCAAATGGATTCATTTGGTGACTGGTTTGGTTCAGTAAAATAATGTCAAGTGTAAATAGTAGAATGAATATGGTCGTTTTCTTGTACACCAAACTAAATCGAATCAATCTAATTACGGTTCTGTTCGGTTCGATTCAAGACTACACCTCTCACGTAAAAAAACCAAACAAAATTGTTCGAATTGATCAAGTGCAAATATTGAACCAAATTATTCGAATCAGTTTTTATTTCTTTATTTTTATCTCTCATTGTTGAGCAAAAATTATACACAATATGTAAACAAATAATTCACTCGACATAATTTCACCCTCGTTCATTTTTTAAAGAGAGTTTTATTAATTTGAATTCAACCCTCGAATCAGTTTTTCCTTCTCTCTTCCTTTGCACCTTCCCTCTCCAATAGGTTTCGTAGGAATTCAATCCTATTTGACATAGGACTTTGAAAACATTAAAGCTGGACCTTTTTTCATTGTGAAAAACACTTGTTTGACTTGTATTTCCTTTGAGTTTTTAGACTACCCAGCGGAGGTAATGGAGTCATCCATTTTTCCTCTTTCCTTTTCTTGGTTTTGGAACCTGTGTCACTTTGTATCCATGCCTGCTTTCTTTCTCTTTTTGTTGTTTACTTATATCTTTTGCTCAACAGATTACAGAACAGCGAGTATTTGCTTTCATATTAATGAAAATATAAAAGCAAGTGGCAGAGCACCATTTTTTTTTTATAAACGCTTTTTCAGGCTTTTATAGTCAGACTTTCTTTCAAAAGAAACCACATGATTTTATGTTGCAGAGCTGTGGCATTTTAAAGTTGCCACGTGAGTGTCTTTCCCATTTGATTTGGGGAGCCCTTATTGCTTCTATGTGAATTTGAATTCTTCTAAGTCCAGTAGATAAAAATAAAAAACATACTCCTGCAATAATTCATCTTTTCGTGGGATTCAAGCCACATAGGCTCTGTTCAAAGCGGCCCTTTTTTTTATAATCTTTTGGACTTTCAATCCCATTTAACATGGGACTTTAGGTCCCGAGCCTATGTCCAATTTGTCAGCAAGCTTTTTTTTTTCTTCCCCTCTTTGAAGACTTGAATTTTCCAAGTCTCGAATAGTACTGCACGGCCGTCGGGTATGGCTGCAGGAACTTCACAGAGAGCTTTCGAGCTTCTGCAATCTGTTTTAAAGTGCAACTTTAGAGCCACTTCCGCTGCATCCTTGGACCTGGGGACTTTTTCTTTCCTCAAATTCTTGGCTTTCTTGCCTTCGAATGTCTTCTTCCGGAGGACTGCCGAAGACAACGGTTGAAGAGCGGTGGTGTTGCGATTTGGTTGCTGCAATGCAGTGATCACTTAGACTTGGTTGAAAGTTCACGGGGTGGTTTAGACCATCCTGAAGAAATTCATGGGATTGACAGTAGCGGCATGGAGCACTTGGATTTGATTGGAACTTCACGAGATGCTTTAGACCATCCCGAAGAAATTCATGGAATTGACGGCAACGACAAAGAGCTAGGTTGTGGTGGAGATGGAGGACCGTAGGAGTTGGGGGATTCCCTGACCGTTGGTGGTTGCTTTTGAAATTTCCAGAGCTCCATTTTTTTTCCTTGCATCGGGGAATGGAAGAGGTTGAAGAAGCAAAGTGCTTCTTTTCTTCCTTCCTACAAAGCAGAGAGAGAACCAACCCAAAACAGAGATTAAAAAGAATGAAATGGTTTATACCTTCAAATGCTTTGTAGCTTTTCCTGCTCTTTATTCTTGCGTGTAGCACTTGATCTTTTCTTCTTCTTTTTTCTTTGTTTCTCTTTTGCCTTTGCTCTCTTGCTTTGCCTCTCCTCCTCTGTCGTCTTCACTGTGCTTTTCAATTTCTGCAGCGTTTTATTGTCATTATCCTCCCCTTTGCTTTGGCTTGGTGCCTTTTATAGGCGAACAATGGAAGCGGAAGTTATGGTTAATGGGTGAGTGCTACCACGTACGCTACACATTGGGATACCTGTAGAAAACCACCCACGTCTCTAGTTGTGAAGCGATTTTATTATCCCATATATATATATATATATATATATATTTAAGGATAAAAATCAACAATCTCCATATTGTTTTCACTCTTTAGAAGTAGGCACTTGCAATCCTCACACATCCCCACACGTCTACTCCACTTATTTTATATTTTTATTTATTTATTTTTACTTTGTGAAAATATATGGTTCAACGCTCATATTTCATAATATTTCTGTCTTTTCCGTCACGTGATTTGCGAGTGAGAGACAAAATCTTCTTTAATATCAAAATACTTTTGGCACTAAGTAGATTACTTGTGAAACACCACATACGATGCACAATTTTACACGTGAACGACCGATACCGCTGCATATGGCAAAGGCAGAGCCACATGTGAAGAAGGGACAAGGATTGTCTGTCCTCCTTGTTTTCGTGCCCTTCTATGCTTTTTCGTTTGTATGGTCATGGTTAAACTACATCAATATTTTATATTACTATTCATTTTTATCTTATTATCTCTATAAAAAAATAATATAAAATGTTGACGTGGCTTAACCGTGACCACACAAAACAGAAGAGCACGGCAGAGCACGAGAATAAGAAGGGCAGACAATCTTTGTCCGTAAAGAAGGGCCAAGATGTGATTGATGTGTGTCCCAAAATCCTCTGTGGATTTGGTCGAGCCAATTGGTAGCTACAAGCCTACAAAGTCATATAGACATTACATTCAGGAAAATATCTTCCATAGACGTTACATTCAGGAAAATATCTTCACCGTTATACGACGTTTTAATTCAATAATATATTTTTAAGTGTAAATATTTTTTGACATATTTTATGATGGAATTAGAATCTGAACCTTGAGGGGTTCAGTATTAAAGATTTAAGTTTTTTAAATAGAAACATAACATAAAAAGTACAAACAAAAAATCAATTTATTCACTAAGACATTTATGGATTTATTATTGTCAATCAAATCACGTACGCCCATGCCAACATATGCGAAGCAAAAATATCCATGTATTAGACATGGGATCCCCTTGTGTTGCTGGTGAGTCTTTAACGGTAACAAAGCTGCCACGTTAGTGTCCAAAGTTTCTAGCCACGGACTCCTCCCGTCCGTCAACACTAACATCATCCTTCACCATCTACAAGTTGCCAAATTTGAAATGATTGAATTGCATTGATATAATTTCTTATGCTTCAAAGAATTTAATCAGTACATATCTTGTAAACTTGATCTGGAACACGATTGCGACACTCATATTTTATATTCTTAAACTTTCCTTCTCGATTCTAGCCATGAAATTGAATAAATTAACAACGGATCGATGAAACAGAATCATGCGCAAAAAGACAAAAGGGGAGTGTAAAAATCACTTCCCTATAATATGTATTCAAGTTTTGAGCTTGATTGAGATGCGCAACGCTTTTACAACGAACGATAAATACTTGGCTATCTGTGGTGATATATCCTTCTTTTTCTATATTTCTCATTATGTAAGAGGAATATATCTTTGATTGTATGCAAAAAGTAGAGGGATATGTTCTAATAATATAATGGTTGGAGCCACCAAAAAGATGAAGCTCCAAATCTTGAGAGATTTATCAGTATGCAATGAACATAGCATGATTCATCAAGTTTTATAATACAAGTAGTTTGATACTTGGAAAAAAAAACACCCTCTAATCACTCGCATTGTGATACTCAGTGTACCTAGTCATGTTTTCGGCTTCCAGCAACTTTGTTAGTTGTAAATAACAAGAAGACAGCAACAAGAAGCATAAACCCTACCAAATCTTGAAAAGCAATATCCTTTGAATACTCTTGGAAAGGAAGGGGGTTACGAATTACAGGCAGAAACAAGCAGAAGTAAAGCTACCAAAGATCAATTTTTGCAAGCATAGAACAGCATAATTCAGACAAGAATATTGCAGATGGCACGCTGGTTGAAAGCGGCCGGTCTCAACATTCGGGGAAGATCGCGGTATTGAACCCGAAACAAAATCTTATTCGGAAAATAGAGTACGACACATAAACCGAAATATGATTCAAAAAGGGAAACAAAATACAAGGGCACTCCTAAGATAGAAGATTTAGGGCAATAAATCAGCAGAGTGTTTGGTAAATAGAGTACGACACATAAACCTTTAATGTGCTTTGAAAAAAAACTGTTGTGAGAATAAGCGATTGTGAAATAAATCAGCAGAGTGTTTGGTAAACTTTTTTGTAAAAGTGCTTTTGGAAAAAAAAAAAAAAAAAAAAAAAAAAAAAACAGTCTGATAGTGGGTCTTTTCATTAAAGGAGCATTGTAGCTCCGTGTGCTTTAAAAAAAAATCAGTTTTCCAAAGCTGCAAATAGCAGCTTCAGCTTTTTCCTTTGATTTCAGCTTATTCTCACAGCAGCTTCCAAAATAAGCCATTTTTTTTTCAGTTTACCAAACACCTAAAACCCTCACAGCTTTTTTTCATGGGTGCTTTTTTTTAAGCACCTCACTCCCAAACCACCCCTTAGTACTGATTTGATACTGATGTGCTTTTTAAAAAAAACGAATATAAATTCAACTTCAGTTTTTTTTTCTACAGTTTTGGGTGAAAAAAAGCTGAAAGTTCAAAGCAACAAAAGCTAGCTTTGAAAAATCGGCTTTTTTTGCTTCCATAGCTTCTGCGCAAACCTAATTTGCAAGAGGCATTGAGCCCTTTAATGAAACTTTCAAACACCCAAAATGACATTAAACAATTAAATAATTACACATAATACCAACTGGAAAACATCGCCGACTCTTCCTCGTCGATCTCGCCACAACGCCGGTCACTCCCAGCTTCAACAATCACTGTTATTGACCTTAGATCCATACCCTAGGACATTGTTTCTGCCTCTGTTCTTCCCCCCATCT